CAGGCTGGCCTCAAACTCACAGAGATCCACCTGCCTCTACCTCCTCAGTGCCGGCATAAAGGTGTACACACCTAGCTGACATTAGACACTCAATTGGCAAGCTATGGCCAGTGTTTTCTAGTCATCACGGTACTTCTTTGTCATGGCCTTTGCATCATGGGAGGAGCACCCACAGAACTGTACAACAGCCTTGCAGGGTCTCTAATGAAATACTGATCAAGGCTCAGCCCCTTTCTCACACCTTACACAGCAATAGGCCATTGTCCCTTTTTGGTCCCCAGGTTTGGGACCCATGTCCTGGAATACTTTGGTACAGGGCGTTAGTCTGTTCTTTCTGCTCTTTGCTCTTGGGACTGACTTTCAGTTAATCATCTAAGTAAGCAGTCCTTTGGCACAAGCCCTCCTTATTTTTTTCCTGGGGGCAGGTTGTCTCTTCCATTTCCAGCCTGTCCTGCTCTCTTTTCTGACAGGTTGGCCATCCGCACTACCAAGGCCGCCAGAGGTGGGGACAGGTGCATGTGTCATATGCCTACAATTTTCACATCGCGGTACTTACCCTTGACTCTTGAAATCTGAGAGAATGTTCAATGGGGAGGTCAAACTTGGGACAGGGAGTTCCTAAATCAGGCTCTAGGTCCCTCCGGGACAGGGCTAGGGAACAGGCAAGCTGGGTTAATTTTTAGTCAACACAGCAAATATTGTCCCTACTTCGGGAATCTAGTCATGTCATGGAAACTGGGCCTTGCCAGTTTCTGTGCTTTAGGGGAGAGGGGAGGAAGAACATGGCTGCCTAGTGTTTTCTTTAATATCGACAAAGCCTAAATTATTGATACTTAAAGTGGCCAAAGGCAAATCTCCTTGCCTCATCTCTACCTCAGTTTCCTCCTCGGTCAAATGCCTCATCGTTTTGAAGTGTTCGGCACAGTGTAAGGTCAATAGATTGGAGCGATGATGTGTGTGGAGATGAAGAAGCTGAGGGAATTGGCAGAGCATAGGGTGAGAGAGAGTCACAGGGGCAGAGAGGGGTTAGTTGGTTTTGCAGGGTCCTTTGTCTCATTAGAGGCCAGCAGCGGGGAGCAGTTAAGGGGCTCCTCTTGACCAAAATCTTAAAGAAACAATCTGGTATCTGTCATGGGTGGTCTTGGATTCTCCAGCCAAGGTCTAGGGAATGAAGGAAGAGAAAGGCATTTTTGGTGGTCAGGTGGGTGACTCTCCAGAACATGGCTGAAATGTCTGAGTCTGGGTGGCAGGACCCTCTCAGTTCTTAACTGTGGGTGTTTTGGAGGGGCCCAAGGCTGGTTCTGAGGAGAAATCATGGGGGTAAAACCAGACAGCAGGGACTTTTGCCTCTATTGGGGCCAGAGTTGCACACAGCTACTCCCTGGGGGCTCGATCCTTGCCCTGCTCTGCTGTGGTGGGAAGAGCAAGACTTCTGCCATGGCCCGATGGCAGTCTGCCCAGCTCCACAGGAGCTAAAGGGGAGGCCTGCTCCACTAGATAGACTTCTTGGAGACCTAACAAGAGGAGGGGGTCTGCCTCCAGCTCCTGCTCTGGGGCATCGGGACTTCGGTAGAGAGCATTAGAAGCTGATAGCACGAGGAAGTTAATGTTTTTGAGAGGCTCAACACTACACCCTGCCCCCCAGCTCAGTATCTAGAGGTGGACTCTCCAGGTAAACCTGGATGGACAAGGAAAAGTTACAGATTAAATGGAGAGTCAACAAACCACCACCAGAGAGACTGGGATGCTAGTATGGCCTGGCTTGGTTTATGTTTTTGACCAGGGTAGGGTCAGAGTTCTTGAGTGGGTGTAGACGTGCACACCTGGATGAGCATGTGTCTGGACATGTAAACATCTGTGGTTCTGTGTTGGTGGGTGGACTTAATCCGTGTTATGCCCTAAGACCGATTAGAAGCTACTTTCCTAAAATGGAGGGTTTCACTCTAAGTGTAGATTGGAACCAGGGGTCACTGGGCTAGGCCACAGAAACACCCACGCTCAGTGGCCTGCAGGCTGCTGACTCAGCTATGCCCAGTTAAGGCTGTCTGTGACATGGGGCCATTTAATTCTGACATCAGCATAGGCTATGCTTCTAGGCTCACTCTATGTCCCATGTGACTCTAGGTTTCAACAAGCTATCCAGTTGTTCTCATTAATGGTGAACATCTCAAATACCCATGGATAAGCCCCCCGGGATCCCTCATTGCTGGCTTCTACTCACAGAAATGCCACATTGGGAAGCAGGATTGTGGTCAGGTCTCTTGGGCATCTTTTTCTGTACTCTTGAGGGCTCATCATATCAAAGCTCTGGGACTGTAAAGTGGGCATGCCCTCTATCTCCTGAGGCAACTCCTTTCTTTAAAAGCTCCTAAAACAAAACTGAAAAGTAATATGAGGGCTAGGAGCCAGATTATAGTGGCGCCTGCCTATAATCCAATACTTGGGCAGTGAAGCTAGGAGGAGGGGAAATTCAAGGCCAGCCTCAATTACGTAGCAAGTTTGAGGCCTGTCTGGGCTACATGAGACCCTGTCTCTAAACAAAAGAATAAGAAGAGAAAAGAGATAGTAGGCTGGGAATGGCAATAAAACATTCACAGCATACAGAAAGAAATCCCACAGCGTTACAGCTTAGGGGTAGAATACTTGCTTATCCCTTTTTACACACACACACACACACACACACACACACACACACACACACACCCCAGACACAAATTTCTCTATTCTTCTTTACTCCCTGAACTCTGAGCCTAAAAACATTTTGTGTTTACCAAAAAGAAGCAAAGCTACCCTCACTGTGAAGAGAGAATAAACAGACTGGAATTGTGTCATGTGAATCCCAGGGACATCCTCCGTCCTCTTCAGCTGACTCCCAGGCTGGATGTAGGTCTGAGGTCCCTACCCTTTGGTCACATACGCAGAAGGATGGTTGCATCTACCTGCTTCCCCTGTTTCTGTCCTTCAACTCTACACTAGCATTTCACTCAAGACAAAATCTCCTATCCTTGGTGAGTCAGTTTGGTCTTGGTATGGAATCTTAACTGTTAGGGTATTTTTTGGATGGTATAGATTCCCTCATTGCCTGGTGTCCCTTCATCTCCATGCTTTCTTTTCCTTGTCCCCCAAACCAGAATAATAATAATAATAAAACCCAACTCCCCAGCTTTGGCCAGGCAGAAAAATACCATTTGACCCAGAGGCAGCTCTGGGCCTATTGCCATGTATGGAGGAACCTGCTAACTCCTCAGAAAAAAAAAAGTCCTGACGCAAACCAGATGTAACCTCCTGTCGGCCTGCCAACATCTGGAATGCTGGCAGGAGCCCTGCACTTGGGCCTGCATTGAGCTGCCAAGTCTGAACATTTCAGGGGTGGCTCGGATGTGCTGAGAAGTCTTCCCAACCTCCTTCCCCTGCTCAGTCTTGCATTCCGGCCCTGGCTGCCAGGAGGAAGCAGCATGGACACAACGCAGGGCCTTCTGGATGGAGCAGCTCACATAGAGTCTTCAGGAGGGGCCGTGGAGACAGGGTCCAGCTTCATGATCCTCATCTCTAGGCAGCCCTTTGCCTGTTTCTGGGTGACTCACATGGACATTGAATGGGGCCTCAAGTTTAGAGATGTGAGACCCAGTGGTAGAGGCTATTGTCTTTGTTCCGGGGGGCCTCTCTCCCTCCCTCCTTCTCTTTCTCTCTCTCCCCTCTCTCCCCTCTCTCCCCTCTCTCTCCCCTCTCTCTTCTCTCTCCTCTCTCTCTCTCTCTTATGCAGACACACACATACACACACTAACGGATCCAGACAGTGGGAGAACCTTTAGGGCCAGACTCCTCGCTCATGGAAAATATGATTTTGGCCCTGGGGATCCCTGGCAGGCTCAGCCAGATGCTGAAAGAGCAGGAAAGGAGACAGGAAGAGTGAGCAGATGGAGAGGGGGATGGCGGGAGGAGCTGAAAAGAGGAGGTAGAAGATCCAGTAGTCCCCCCTCCCACTGCCTGCCTCAGACCTCCCTGCAGGGCCCAGGGGATGTCCTCTGCCATCTGGGCGGCTGCAGCTGGTGACTATCTGAATCCTGAACTGGGTGGGGTGAGGAACAAATCAAGGACTTCAAGAGGAATATTCTTCCAAAGACATTCAGAGGAGTGGGGTGGAGATGGGGGCTGCTCATATTTCCTCCCAACGGAGGCTCTCTGGCGCTATGGAGCCTCCCGGTGGGGGAGAAAGCAGGTGGGAGGTTGGAGGAGTGTAAACCTCTGTTCTTTCTGATGCTGACCTCTGCCTTTCTCTGACGGCCTACAGACAAGGATGAGAGCGACCATCCCAACAACAGCTTCAACCCCTGCAGTGCCCATGATCATAGGTGCCTGCAGAAGCATATGGCGAAAATGCGAGATCGGAGCAAGATGAAGGTGGTGGGGACACCTCGGGAGGAGCCCCGTCCTGTGGTGAGCATCTCTGACCCACAGATGTGGGTGCTTGTAGAAATTCCATTACTAGATCTGGGCTATGTCCACCTAGCAGACACCGAAGTCTCCTGTGTGTACAAGATGTCTCTGATGAGAGTCCAGGGAAAACCCTTTCTTTCTTTGTGATTCTTTTTCCACACGGCTCATAAATATCGCATAGCTGAGGTGGTTGGTAAAAGCAGGCCTGGTCTAGCTCCCTAGTCTTTCTTTCGTCTTTTTTTTTTTTTTTTTTTTTTTTTTTTTTTTTTTTTTTTTGAGTCAAGATTTGCTCTGGCCGTCCTGGCACTCACCAAGTAGACCAGGCTGGCCTTGAACCTGGAGATCCGCCTGCCTCTGCCTCTGAGTGCTGAGATTAAAGGAGTGCGTCACCACCACCTAGCTCTTGGTCCTTTTTCTTGGATTCTTTGTCCAAGTCTTAGAAACAAAAGCTTTGTTAGGCATGCTTTAGTGTCCACCATTGGTAGCTGAGTCTGAGTTTCTGCTCCTTCTTGTGCTCCTGCGGTACCCAGGTCTTGACTCTTTGTTTAGGGCCTTTAGGCCCCTTTAAGCTTAGAGTCCCATTTTGGTCTTCCTGCCTTTCTTTTCTGCTAAGCATTTTGTTCTTCATTCCCCAGCCCCAGGGTTCCTGCCAGAGCGAGCTGCACCGGGCCCTGGAGCGGCTGGCTGCCTCTCAGAGCCGGACCCAAGAGGACCTAGTCATCATCCCTATTCCCAACTGTGACCGCAATGGCAACTTCCACCCCAAACAGGTGGGTCTCCTCTCCTGCTGTGAGTTCCTGGCCTCATCCTGAGGAGCTCCTGGCTCTCTGCAGGAGGCTCGAAAAGGGAGATTTTAGGAAGGGAAGCTCTCCAAATCTGACCCGGTTATTTGGGTCTCCCTAAGCCCTATTGTAGCCTAAGATCCTCAACATGTTTTATCCACCTTGTTCATTTGAAGATGAGAGGCAGTCTCAGAAAGGAGTAGACGGACCCTGGCCATCCCACACCACGGAGTGAGTTCATAGCAGAACTTGTCTTCCTTCCAGGGCTGTTTGCAGCTCCTCAGAATGCCCCATCTCCCAGAGCTCCCCCTCCTCTTTTCTTCAAAGTAGAGCTCCTTGTCTGTGATCTCTGAAGCTTCATGAGAAGTCATGGAGGAAAGAGCTCACGCTTCAGCAGCTGAGTTCAGATTCCAGAGTGCAGTAAAGATGGAGGTAGAGCAGAGTCTGGAGGGCCGAGACAGTCACGTGGAGTGGAAGCGGATGAAAGAGAGGTCAGGAGAGAAAGCAGCAGGTAGCAGTGTCACATACACTCACCTCTTCAGGATGCCTGGCATGCTGGCATGTGCAGCAGGAGCATTCCACGCCATCTCATCTCTGGCTCTTCAGGAGGGTAGCATATTTGAGCAGGGAACTCAAGTGCCTTGTGTTGAGTGTGGTCTAAGGTGCCTTGGCCTGGTTCTCCTCTAGGTTGTGTGAATACAGGTACGTATGTCCCCCCCTCACACTATGGAAACACCCCTAGAATGGGCTGCTACTCAGCCAGCAGAGGCCTCACTAGGAGGATAACACTTTGTAATGGGTCTGTACCCAATGTGGAAAGATGAGGGTGTGGCAGCGTTACGTGTAATGAGTGATGGACCAGAGAAGGCTCCTTAGAATCAGTGCCTGGCCTCTCCTGAGCCTTCATCTCAACACAAATTCCTGTCTCAATTCTTAATAGCGCCCCACCCTTAATTAAACAAACAAAAACATTTGACTTTTTTTTTTTCTTTCTCCGAGACAGGGTTTCTCTGTGGCTTTTGGAGGCTGTCCTGGAACTAGCTCTTGTAGACCAGGCTGGTCTCGAACTCACAGAGATCCGCCTGCCTCTGCTTCCCGTGTGCTGGGATTAAAGGCGTGCGCCACCAACGCCCAGCAACATTTGACTTTTTAAAAACAGTTTTGGGGTTTGTGGAAAAACAAGGAAAAAGTGCAGAATTATCTTTTCCTTTTTTTCTTTTTGAGACAGGTTTTCTCTGGGTAACAGCCCTGGCTGTCCTGCAACTTGATTTGTAGACCAGGGTGGCCTTAAACTCACAGAGACCAGCCTGCCTCTACCTCCTGAGTGCTGGGATTACAGGCATTCACCAGCACCACTCGGCTGCCGAATTATCTTACACTGTGCCTTCATCACACCTGATTCCATTACTCATACCAAACAGTAGTGGGGTGTGTTTAATGGAACTATTGATAAAGTATTAACTGAAGTCCAACATACCAGGATTACACTGGGATTTGTTTTTCATGTTATATAATGCCACGTGTACTTTCACATCTAATTTTTATTTGGACAAGAAGCTGTGACACCTGACCCTTTATCCCCACACCAATTCTGAGTCTTGAGCCAATCTTCATTCCAACTTTGAGTCTGGCTTTGAAATATACTTCTATGCCCCCACCCCCACCCTGGTCAAATTCTGACCTGAATTTTAACCCTACCTCAGTTGTTTTTTTTGGGGGGGGGTTCGAACATGCCCCACCAACGCCCAACTGCTGAGTTTTTTTTTTTTGTTGTTGTTGTTGTTGTTGTGGTTTTTTTTTTTTTTTTTTTTTTTTGAGACAAGGTTTCTCCTTGGCTTTGGCGGCTTTTTGGAGCCTATCCTGGTACTTGTTCTGGAGACCAGGCTGGCCTCGAACTCTAGAGATCCACCTGCCTCTGCCTCCCGAGTGCTGGGATTAAAGGCGTATGCCACCAACGCCCGGCTTATTTGTTTGTTTATTTATTTATGTATACAATATTCTGCCTGCATGCCAGAAGAGGGCACCAGATCTTATTACTGATGGTTGTGAACCATCGCGTGGTTGCTGGGAATTGAACTCAGGACCTCTAGAAGAGCAGCCCATGCTCTTAACCACTGAGCCATCTCTCTAGCCCCCGTGTTTTAGCGTTTTAACCATAATCCGTAACCCAACTTCAGCTGTGGTCCTGATGTTACTACGTTCACCCCGATTTGGATCCTGCTCCCAGCTATAATCTCATTTTTCAATTCCAGCCCAGTCATGACACACCTGAAACATTCCAATGAATCCAGCCTTTATAATCCATCAATACCTTTAAGTCTTAGGGCCTTAGGTCCCTAGTCAGAAGGTATCTAGAACTCTCCTTGGACAAGTCTCCCTACTGCAGTGAGCTCTGGGGACTGGTGCTCAAAAGAAGCCCTTGCCTTCAGATATCATTTTGGAAGAGCAATTGTCTGGTCTGGGGGCCGGGCTGGAGGTGATGTGGAGTACCTGGACTCTTTTGGCCTTCCTGGGATCTGACCTCTCATGCTCTTGTCTTGGCAGTGTCACCCCGCCCTGGACGGACAACGTGGCAAGTGCTGGTGTGTGGATCGCAAGACAGGGGTGAAGCTTCCAGGGGGCTTGGAACCCAAAGGGGAGCTGGACTGCCACCAACTGGCTGACAGCTTCCAAGAGTGAGGCCTGCCAGTAGGTGGGGTCCTCAGTGCTCCCTACTAGGCCCCTGTGCTCTGGGGGCTGTAGAGTTGACCTGGCATGGAGTTTTGGTCCGAGTCCTGGCTCTCTGCCTCTGGCCCTGCCCAAAGTTTCCCTTGATGTGTATGTGCAAGTGTGTGTGTGTGTGTGTGTGTGTGTGTGTGTGTGTGTGTGTGTGTGTTTATGGGCACAAATGTGGCCCATGGGGTAAGCCTGAACCTAGAGTACCCACTATGGGCGTAGATAGCCCAAGAGGTCTGAGTGTAGCAACAGGAAGCCCCAGTATGTTTTCAAATCAATCTTGAATTCATTCATTCATTCATTCATTCAGCCATCTGAAAACATGTATTGGCAACATACTACATGCCAGCTTTAGTTTTCAGCCCTGGGAGGCCTCATTCTAATTTCCTCTGATTGTGGTAGTCCTATAAAGTCACCAGAGTCCTGTAGAAGAGAAACCTCATTCTTGGAATCAGAGAGAAAGAAAGGTGTGAACATTGACCACTCTCCCTCTCCTCAACCTAGTCAGTGTGGGATTGTGTGGAGTAGAAGAGGGCTTTAGGCTCATGAGACCCACCCCCACTATTATGCCAAGCTTTGTTCTCATTCCTCAGGTTCTCCAGGGGGAAGAGATTGAGGGACAGGGCCCATCTTTGGGTCTGGGTATTGGGTTACCTTGCAGATGGAGCTCTGCTGTGGGAGAGGAATGGGGTCAGAGGAAGGCCTGAAGGGCAGGGAGTCAGGAGAGAAGAGAGGATGCAGGATTGGGTTGTATGTGTCTGATGGAGAGGAGGACACGTGTGCTGGGGGATGAGGAGCTGATGAGGTCCTGTCCTGGGTCCTAATTGTGGTCTCTGGTCATGACGTCACCGGGATGACCCTACCTTTCCAGCTGCCCACTGCCTGTGGCCCTGCCTGCCTCCCTGTATCCCCCTTCCATCACAACTGTCCCACCCACTCTACCCTCCTGGGCATTTTCTGGCTTGCCTGGATAGACTTAGAGACCTGCTTGTTGGCTGTGATGTCTTTTCATTCATTTTTTTTCTTTTTTTAAAAAAACAAAACAGAACAAAACCAAAAAGTGTCCAGATAACTGTGTGTGGTTGATTTTTTTTTTTTTAACGGTTAGAGACAGGGATGAATCAAGGGTGGAGGGAGGTGGGCCCTATGTGGTCCCCAGACCTTTGGTACTTGGTAGGGGACTGCTGCAAAACAAAAGCCCTTTCTTCAAGCGTCTCCCAAGGTACTCACATTGGAGGTGGGATCCTGTGGCTTTGGAGGAATGGCTAAGGTCGGCCATAGTTGGCTTCTAAATCAGTTACTCAGCCGAGCTGGAACATTTCCTTGGGTTTGCATTGGATGGGTTTATTAATTTAGATGGGGATGGAGAGGACTCGCTTAACTCGGGACAGCGTGGCAATAAATCACAGCACATTCCACAGCTCTGGTGTCCTTGTTCAGGACTGGGGGATGGGCATGCTCCAACATGGCAATTCTGAAAGACTGTGCTTCAGAGCGTGTTCCCACATGGATTCATAGTGTGTGTGTCAGTGTGTGTGTATTCAAGGGCTGGTTTCTGATAAATGTTTCTTCTCTGGAGATCAGAAGAACCCTGGAGACTGTTGAGTCGCTTGCCTTCTGAAGGATGGGGTCCTGTCTGTGTCCTTGTCCTCCAGTCCCCTCTCTGATCCAGAGACTCCTGGGCTTGCTTCTAACGTCATTGGCTCCCAACTTTTTTTTTGATGTTTTGTTTTTTTGAGTCAGAGTTTACTCTGTGTAACCCTAACTGTCCTGGAACTGGCTTTGTAGACCAGGCTGGCCTCAAACTCAAAGAGATCTGCCTGCCCCTGGATTTTCTTTATTACTTGGACTTTCTACTGAGGCTGCAGTCTCCCTAGATCTCTAGCTCTGCCTCAGCAGGACAGCCTACAGCCATCTGATTGCCCTGAGGCACCAGCATTATCCTGTTGAGAATTGTTCCCTTAGTCCCTGGCCTCCTCCTTTTGGGGCCCAGGCCAAGGCATGTTGAGGTAGTGGGGTGATGTAGCCTGAAGATCAAGTTTTGGGTCCAGTCAGCCAAGTACAGAGAAGTGTTTCCCCAAGGCACATCTTCTCATCCCCTCTTGCTTAGCCCTTTCTGCTGGGCTCTGGGTTCTAGGAGATCACTTTCTTCTGAACCTCCAAAAAAGGCCTGGCTTAATGACACATACAGTGATTTCTCTCTCTCTCTCTCTCTCTCTCTCTCTCTCTCTCTCTCTCTGTGTGTGTGTGTGTGTGTTGTGTGTGCCCGCGTGTGCGTGACCGCACATGCACACTTATGCATGTGTGAATGTGGCTTGGTGATTCTGGAACTGGGAGGGTATGGTCTTTTACAGGTACACACGTACATACCTGTATGATCAGTGTAGACAAAATACACACCTGTATAATTGGTATCTAGGCTCTATGAATCTGCCAAGTGGGAGACTCTCCTGAGTGACAGGAAAGATATGACATCCACAGACTATCTTTCCATTGTAAGGCTTGAGGAGGGTATCTTACAACAGATAGCAGAAGTTACGTGCTTTGGAGGGATTCCACATTTCACACAAATATCCCTCCTTTTCTGGATGGGTTGTCCCATGGTTTTGGGCCAGGTCCCATGTGTCAAAGCAAATAAAAGCAACACAGTGTTTATACACCATTCCCAGATTCTGAGATGCCCTCCTGACCTGGCCTCCACATGTCCTTGAATGGTCCCTCTAGTCCCAGAATTATCAAGAGAGGAGGCAGGGACCAAACTTTTATGTCCTTGTGGGGTCACTGTACCTTGAGAACTGAGGTCCTGTCTGCTCTGCTCTACCTCCACAAGAAACTTATATCTGGACTAGCAAGGTGGCCCAGTGGGTAAAGGCACTTGCCACCAAAGCCTGAAGACCTGGGTTCAGTTCCTGGGACTCACATGGTGGAAGGAGAGAATCAACTCCTGTAGATTTTCTTCTGACCTCCGCAGGTGTGCAATGACATTTGCATACCTACACATTCACACATCCTTATTCTGTCTCTGTCTTACACACACAAATATGCCAAAAATGTTCTTTCCTTCTGATTTGGCATGGGGGTCCCTTAGCTCACCCATGCCCTGGCATTCAGTTTCAATTTCCCTTCTCTCAGTGGAGATCAAACCCTGATCTGCTGAGGCTGGGCCAGCCCTCTGACCCATCATCTAGAAGAACCCTGAGCGTCTGTTATTCCCAGCCCTTTGGCCCTCTGCCACCAAGCTGCTCCAGGAATGTCATGAGGTATGCAAGAACTTGTGCACCTCCAGAGTTCCCCTTCCTGGAAGGCACATGGTTGTTTGGCAAATGACCCCAAAACATTTCTAGCTAAAGAAATCCCCACTGTCCGGGCAGTGGTGGGGCACACCTTTAATCCCAGCACTCGGGAGACAGAGGCAGGTGGATCTCTGTGAGTTCGAGGTCAGCCCGGTCTACAAGAGCTAGTTCCAGGACAGCCTCCAAAGTCACAGAGAAACCCTGTCTTGAAACCCCCCCCCACACACACACACACAAAAAGAAATCCCCACTATGTTTCAGGCCTTTACAGATGGAGTGGGCTGAAGGAGTTGGGAGGCTTAGTAGCAGCTGAGAGGCTGGGTGCTCACAGGGAGGTGGGAGAGAAGGGCAGTTGTAAGTATGGGAGGAGGTCAGGAGGGGAGACAAAGGGACCAGCCTCTGGGCACACCGGAGTGGGGAACAGATAGCACCTCAGTCAGCCAAGGGTCTAATTAGATCCTGCCTACTCTGTGTCTGAGGCCCCAGGGGTGGGGAGGGCTGAGGTCAAAGGGTAGAAGTGGGGGGTATGCAGATAATTAGAAACATACTCCTTCCGAGTGGCAGGCGCCATGAAGACCACCACTCCCCCTCAGGTCATCTCCCCACCCCAAGTAGACAATCCCAGCCAGGCTGACAGGAGCCTGTGAGTCGAAACTCCCTGGGATAGGCTTCCCAGGCCCTTACACAGTCTCCAAAGTGCAAACAACATATTTTCACCATGCAATGGTATTTAATTACACATAAAAACAGAGCCATTAAACTGAAATTAAACCCTTGTTGGAATCACTTAATTCAGGGCATGACAAATTGCTTTCAGCGGAGGCAGCTGTGTAGTCCCCTGGGGTGGAGTTGAGGGGAAAGAATGGAGATTAGTGGCTTCCATGGCTGGCTCCATACCCTCATTCTCTTGGTCCCTTTGCCAACTCTAAATTCTGAAACTGGGGCCAGAACCCTCTTCCTAAAGACCACCCAGGCCAAGGGGGGAAGGCTCTAGATGCACTAGGGATGACAGGGACAGGAGGTTGGGAAATCACTGTACCAGCATTCAGTCCAGTTATAGACAGTCCAGGCTATATGGATGGGGAAGTTGAGGCCGGGATGGGACAGGAATCCAGAGCCAGGATTAGGACCTTGGCACCCAACCATGACCATGGATGCTGTTTTCTTTTTTTCCCCCCCCCTAAGCTGATATCATTGGATCCTGGGTCTGAAGAGAAGCTGGGGTGTGTAGTGCAAGTTAGAGACCAGAACTGACCTTGGGTGACTTTCTGGGGGACAGCTTGGGAGTCAGACTCTGGATCAGGCAGACTAGGTTACTCTATGGGTGAGAGGTGGGTGGGATGAGGGTTTTTGTTACAGGCCTAGCAGAAATGAAGAGATTCTAAAGAGACACTTGTGGCTCTCAACTGGACTATTGACTGATACAATGGACCCCGAAGAGATAGGAGACGCTCCAGAGATATTATGCTGGGAGAGGGGAACGGTGCAATTCAGAGGGGGACTTGTCTTTCAGAAAGAGATTTTGCACAGTTCTAACTACTTAATCAGATCACCTTACAGAATGAGACCAAAGACCAGACAAGGATGGCTCCCTGGTGGGAAGCACTACCCCTCAGCCAGAACTGTTTACATGTGCCTCTCTTTGGCCCTCTACTTAAACTGTAATCTCATTTAAGTCCCTGGAAGACAGACGTGGGGCGTTCTGTATCTCTTTGTCTCTCTTCTTGGCTCTTGTAACTGGCTTACTAAGGACGGGTAGCCAGAACACAAGTTGTGACCCCCAAGTTTGGCAACCACAAAGGGACAAAGACACATTTTTGGGGTACCTCTACCACTCAGAAATGGGCTGATCCTGGGTAGAGAAGAAAGATGGAAGCTCCTATCTGGAGTCATTTTGCTCCAGGGACAGTTTCTCCCCTTTCCAATTCAGCAGCATTAGCCGCTTTTTCACCTGTTTCCTCTGACAAAGCAAGCATTTTGCCATTTTGCTAATGTGTATATAAGACACTTGTCCACAGTCTACTTACAATAACTCACAGTGTTCCCTATGTTTGGAAGGGATTTCTGAGTTCGTTGGTTGTGGATGAACAGATTAAGGTACATGGGACTAGGATAATACAGGTTAATTTTATTCGGGGGAAAAGTCACTTACACGAGAAGCTGATAACCCCAAGTTCCAGCTCCGAGGATCAAGCTCAGCTGCTCTCTGTGACCCCACAGGAACCAAGAGAGCCTGTGCCTTCTCTCCCAGCCCTTTATTCCACATGCCTTCTACATATAGGTACAGGTATCGGGGTCTCTCCCTACAGCTGGTGGTTGTACTAGCCAGTTTTATGTCAACCTGATAGAAGCTAGAGACATCAGAGTAGAAGGAACCTGCTTCAATTAAGAAAATGCCTCCATAAGATCCCTCTTCAGCAAGTCTGTATGACATTAGACCCTATGCCCCCACCACCCCCAAAAGAAGTAGCTTCTATATACTTTTTCTGTGCCATGAAGCTAATTGTTGCTGGTGCTGAATCTAGGTATAGATGGCTCTTAAACTATGTGAGCTTTCTAAATTGAAAGATATTAGTAAATCTGCATAGTTACTTAATTTTCAAAATACTTTTGTTTTTGTTTTTTTTTAAAACTTATTTATTTTATGTGCATGGGTGTCTTGCCTACAAGTATGTTTGAGCACTACCTGAATACCTGATACCTATAGAGACCTGGAACTGGGGTTGCAGGTAGTCGTGAGCCCTCTTATGGATGCTGGGACTTGAACCTAGGCTATCTT